AAAAATAAGAGGAATCAATTTATTTATTGTTATTGCCTGATTTTTGGAGACTGGGTAATGCTTCTATAGTTTATTCTATTTTTGAAACTTTTTTGAAACGGGAAGTTGAAATTTTTTAAACTATATTTTACTCCTAAATTTTTTCCTCCTATTTGAAATTATCATTTTTTTAATAGTCCCACCAGTGCCGAATAGCTGCAGAGTGGGGATGACACGGAGATGAGGGGAAGGTGATAGTGACCGCCGCGCTGTCTCGTGTCGCCTAAGAGAACTTGTTCCCTGTTTTTGGCTGTAAATACCTGCTTGTATCATCCCTTATTTGAGTCCAATCCTCATAGATATATCAGCCCTCTAGTGCTCAACCCATCAACCCACTCTCTTCAAAAAAATATTCGTAAATCTTGAGGTTTTCCAACTATAACATTACAACTGAATCATTGGTCAATAGAGTCAGCTGATCCTTGGAACACAGGGAACACAGTTAAACTGCCAATACCAGGAGCAGAAAAAAAAACAAAGTTATAATTAAAGAGAGTTCGTTAAAGTTTAGTTGTACGTGGTATTGAGGAAAACTACTAATTCAGGTAATTATCGATGAACGATGGAATTACTCCTTCGTAACGAATTAATAAAATGGATTGGTCAGTAATATTGCGGTGGATAATCGAGTTCAAGTGAAGCCATACATGGGTATATGTGATATTCCATGTTATATGCATAATCAATTTCATTTGTGTATCAAGGACAAGCTTTTATTATTGGCTTCCTGCTGGTGCTCCATTATCCTCATGGCATGATTATGAGTTTATTGACTTTTATTGACATTATAATTGGTGAGTGATGATGAGGTGATGTTGGTTTATCGGTTGTTCAGTTTTTCTATTTATTATAGTAGATTGTTGAGAAGTTAGTCAGGCCTCTCAGGAGTTTCTTTGGGTCAGTACATGAGCACTTCTTAGTCCTACAAGGCTGAGTCATTTAATTGTATAGTATTAGGGCATTCTTGCGACATCCCAGGTTTATTTACAAGGAGATTAGAAGAACAAGATAGAAATAAAATATGACATCATTTTATTTATGGAGATACTTTCTAGGTGACTTCGGGATTAAGGAGATCTTGTCTGTTATTGTTATTCAGTTTTTTTGAAATTCAAGTTGTTATTCGAATTAATTGGCGATTTTTCTTCTTTCTCCGTAAAAGTTGTCAGTATAGTTAATTTATTCTACGGAAAAATCATCATAGTATACGCAGTATTTACATTTCTAGTCTTCTTTTCCGTATTTTCAGTGTTATACTGAATTTTCAAGAATTCTGTGCAGCTTATTTTCGCAATTGAGTTTGGGAAGATTGTGCGGTTGATATTGAGAGAATCTTACTGTTATGGTCTTGGTAATTAATGTTTTATGGACTGCAAACGATCGTGACCAGTTGGTACATGAGAAAGTTATTAATTAGAGGATCCAGGGCTCATTAATATTTGTTGATGAATTTATTTGGATACTTATAATTTTTTTATTATTTTATTCGATTCTGTTATGTTTTGAAAGTCTCCTGTTCGTTCTAGTTCATTATTTTTTTTTACCGGTGAAGTAGAGGCTTTTGAAAATAACTTAATAACTCTAGGTAACGTCTCATATTGATAATAAATCGAGAAAGTAATAAAAACCATTAACTTTTTTGATTTTTTAAATTTAAATCTGTAATTTTACGTTAAAAAAAATGTCAATCAAAGATTTAGGATTTTTCCCGTAATAATTGAAAATGATTATTTCTCTTGTTTCAGCATAAATGTAAAAGCAATAATAAACTGAGAGCCCTTCAACGATGCAATGGAGGCAAGGCCCTGCGACCCCTACGAGCAGCAACTCTTCAGTGTTTTTGAGTCCTGCCTCGAACCAGGCCACTCCCACCTCTCCCCATCCGCTCTCCGATCCCTCTGTGACAAGCTCCAACTGGAAGAACGTGGTGAGGATTTGATTTCCTCCTTACTCTCCACACATCCCATAAAAAACCCCAAGATCTCCTTCACAGATTTCAAAAACGGACTAGTCACATTTCTTGGTAACACCGAATCCCCCGAGTTCGAAGGCCAAACCATCACTTCTCCTCTGAAGGAGTCCCCTCCGAGCTCCCCGAGGAAGCATGGACACTGGTCAAACTCATTAGAATCACAACGTCTCCGCCAATTCTGTTACAAATTCAACGGCAATATGAACGGAACTCCAAATCCAGAGAGTCCAGATCCGGAGACTCCATTGCTCTCAAAACACCTCCTGGAGAGTCTTTTCGAGAAACTAGACATGGACTGCGACGGTCTCATAAATTTCTCAGACTTCACAATGCTCTTCCAGAACAGTCGCAACATTCAGGACACCATTACCACAGACTTTACTAGACTCCATTTGGATAACTCCAATCATGAGAAGAACCTTAGCTGCGTACTGGGTCCTGATCAGACAGGCTTCCTCCATAAATCAAGTGTTATAAACCTATGGGAACTTGCAGGGGTTGCAGATGCCAAGAACCTCCTCTCTGATCTCGGTTTCTCTTCCTCAGAAGTCAGCCTGACAGAGCTGACGTCAGTACTCAATGATGAGATTAAGAGTCTTCAACATGATTCCATACCACCGACTACCAGAACCCACGTCAATCTGCTCAAAGGTGCCTTAGTAATTTACCAAGAAGAAGTTCGATCCTTAAATACAATCGGCGATCAACTACGGGGAGAACGTGATAAGCTACGAATGGATGTCGCAGAGGCAAACGAGCGAGCCAGTCTGCTAGCCCAAGAGATAGATGAGAGTCATATCAAGCTCGAAAAATCGCGAAACGAACAGATTAAACAACTGGAGTTGAAGCATACAGAATTAATGAGAGAAATAACCCATCAAAACAGTACCGAACGAGAAGCTCAATCCCTCACTATTAAATCCCTCAACCAGCAGCTTCAAAATCTTCAACAGGAGGAGCAGAATATCAGGTCAGAGCTGGCAAGTGTTTTAAAGGAAAATCTCTCATTAGAGCTCGAGAATCAGAGGCACCTGGAGCAAATATCTAAGCTGAAACACTCCAATAATCAACTGCTTCTGAAGGTACAGATCCTAGCAGCTGAGCATGACGAAGCCGTTGAAAACGACGAACGTGAAAACGAACAGGTGATTTCTCTCGTTGAGAGAATAAAGACCCTGCAGGCAGAGTCCGCCCTTCTCCGAGACCAGAACGACGAATTGACTTCAGAACTAGAAGTTCTCAAGAATCGAAACGTTGAAATGAAAAACAGAACTTTGGGATTTTCCAAACTAGATTTCTCTGATAGCTCGGAAGGACCCAACTCAGTTTGCGACTCCGAGCCTCTAGCCGATCAGGCCCCAGAGCTCAAAGAGGAGAGACAATTGGATTCTGTGGACTCACAAGTGTCCAACGTCACTTGGCTACAGACTGACGAGGCGAATAGATTAATCAGAGATTTGAAAACAATTCTCGATGATTCCAGTGTTCAGCCGGAGATAACCCTTTCCAGACATAATGAGAAGATTCCAGAACTCTTCAGTAACTTGGAGAGCCTCTTGGAGGGATTGCTAAGGACCGCAGACAGTATTAAACGAGATAAAAATGATTCTAAAGAGAATGAATGTGAAGAACGAACTAGTGAATCACTTCGAGATCTTGTAATCAACAAAACCGAGACGTCCAAACTTGTCAAGAGGATATCAACCAGTGATGGAATGATCAATATCGATAGGAACTTCAATAACTTGGAGACGAAGAGTGGAAAGCACAAAAGTCTGAGGGACTATCCACCCAGGACAGACGAAAGTTCTCACTCTTCTTTGGAGGGAAAACTTGATAAAGAGAATCTAGCCAAAGCCCCAGTGGAGTCTGCTGAAGGGGAAGACCTAGTTGACGGGAATAACGTGGAGGCAATCAGGCAAGACAGAGATCGATTGACCTCTCTGTTGAAGGAACAGGAGATGCGACACAGTAATGAGAAACGAATCCTTCAAGATCAGTTGTCAGAGTTGGAAAAGTCACTGGACTCCCTGAGAACTGAGTACTACCAGTGTGAGGACTACTGGGCTGGTAAACTTGAGGAGGAACGACAATTAATAGAACAAGAACAGAAAATAAGTGATGATAAATTGGCTGAGCTGATAGCAAAGATAGCAGAATATGAGGAGCAGTTCAGTATGGGAGATAAATCGAGGAATGATGGACGATTATCTCCAATTGATGAAAAGTTCAACCTCGAACAGCAGTACATGGACCTTCAGGAGGAACTTGACGAGGTAAAAATTAAGAATGAAGAGGTCTTAGCCCAGAAAGACAGGGAAATAATAGAGCTTGAAGAAAAAGTGGCTAAGAGAGAGGTAGAGAGGACCGACATGGCTGTTCAGACTGTGGAGCATAGATCGGTGAGAAGGTCTGCCAGTCTCCCCAGTGGTTATCCTCATGTTCCTGGTGACAATAGTGGAATTGGTGCTTCTATGAAGCCTTATCATAATAGTCAAAAGTCCTTCGAACCGGGCAAGTTGAATCAAATAGCTGAGCATTCAATTTCTTCTAATGAGCTTCTCTTCGGGCCCAGCAGAATTAACTTCGGATGTTACTGCCAGCATGCTGAAAATTACTCGGGAATTGGAGGAGAGATTCGGAGGCTGCTCCAGAGAAAGGCCGAGGTAGAGAGTGAGTGCAATTCTCTGATAAAACAGAAGGAACTTTTGTTCAAGGAAATCATTGAAATGCAAAGCCTCAAAGGGGGACAGTTCTGTTCCGCTGATGTAATTATGAAGGACTTGATTTCGAAACTACAGGCTCAGGAGCAAAAGATCAAGTCTCTTCAGGAGGCCATCAAGAAGCAGAGGATCTGTACTGAGAAACTTATGGAGAAAGTGTGGAAGCAACATAAGAGTGAAGTGGACAGTCTGCAAATGATTGTTAAAAATACTCAGGAATCATTGCATAATCAGATTCAGGTTAATTCGGGAAATGTTGAGAGACTCGGAAAGATTGATATGGTGATGAAGGATCTGTGGGTTGAGAATGCCTTTTTGAAAAAGAAAGTGGAGAAGGAGCTGGGACATTGCGAGCATCGTCATGTTGTCAGCAACTGTAGTACTGAATCCACGTCGGTATGACCATTTATGAATTTCAAGGGTAAATTTAATTTCATGTGCAGCAAGTGGCTCAGGGAGTATCGCTTATTGAAATGTCGATTGAGATATATTTTTGTAAACAGCCTGAGGAGATTATTCTTTGATGATTATTGATTTGAGGCGATTGATTTTTTTCAGTTTCTCGAGTTCAGAGTTGGGGTAGGCTAAGTGTTGGGATTTGAGAAGAACTATTCTCAGACTTCTATTATTGTTATGAGGGTGAGGGGATTATCGGTGCTGATAAAGTTGCGTTTGGAGAAGAAAATGGGTGGAAAAAGATGAGACGAGACAAATGAATAATGGAAATTGTTTTGGGAACAAAGATAATCCTCTGACCGTTCCCTTTGGATTGTGTAAATCTGAAAATTGAATTTTCATCACGGATATCTTTGTAGTTATGAATTTTCGGGGTAAAGTCCTTTTTCCTCTAAAAAATGTTGTGGAAATATGAAGGATGGAAATTCCTCGTCCCATCATCCTGCTGCAGAATTAAATCAGGAATTGATGTCTCTTTGATACCTCAGTGTGTCATATTCCATGCTTAATTCATTTTCACAATAGTATTTTGTATTATAAATTAATTGTATTATAATGATAAGTTTGGTTTGATAGATTAATATTTTGCCATCGATGTGACTTTCCATGAAATTGCACATGCACAGGTGATTAACTGATTAATTATTTTCGAGTAATATTTTGATACTATTATCTGTAGGCTAATTAATCAATTCATCGTGAATGAAGACACTAATTTGTATGATATGTTCTGTGAAAGCTTCAAACAAGGAAAATGTACAGTTTATATTTTTTAACCAGTTTCTCTTTTCTATTCAGCAAATTCTTGCGTTGAGTTCCTTCAAACGTGAAAATGTTGACTGGTGCTGTTGAATATTTGAGCTGCGTAATGCGGAGGGATTTGCACATATTTTTGGGATAAATTAGCTACAACTAAAATCTCTAGATGCAAGAATCCGTAGTTCGAGTGGAAAGGTAGAAATTATAATCTGATTGGTTTTTACAGCTATAAAAAACCCTGGCAATTGTTTGTTTCTTTTTTTTTACATTATACGTTTTTGGAAGATTATGAATTTGAGGAAACGTTAAAATAACTATTGTTCATTTAGTTCCATCTTTTCGTCGATGGATAGATAAATCAATAGGTGATAGTGGAAGAATTGTTGATCTGGTAGACTATAGGTATTTTCAACAGGGAAAACGTAACAATTTAGAGCATTATCTTGAAAAATTGAGGTTTAAAATTGCGTAGGTATAGAGGAACTAATCAAAAATAATTGGTAACAATTGCCACGGTATCCATCGACAATGATTACACCCGATTAAAGGCTGAAGGCGTTCCGAGAATAAAAAAGTGTTCTAGGATATTCAAAATAAACAGCACTTGGCAATAATGAATTATAGACTGAATCACGAGAGCGATTATATACGGCGTCAACTAATTTCGCAAATTTTTTTGATATAAAAAAATTTAGAATGATGGCTTCAATGATTTCCATCTAATTCTTCGTGAACACAAATAGTCATTTAAGAAATCAAACATTGTACATGCATTCCTCTTTACACTCACCAATAAAAAACGTATTTAAATGAGTTAATGGGAGAATTGAATTGACCAGTTTCTTTTTTAATCAATTTTTTTATTTAAGTTTTTATTTTTTTATAAATTAGACATACGATTCCGGAAATTCGAATGTCACATCGCGTCCCGTCAGCTTCTTGTAGACGGCACCAAAGGTGTCAACCTAAAAAATTCAAATTGCAGGAATTAAATTTTGGAACAGAAAATTGGAAATGAAGTATTATCGGATATTATCGGATCGAAGACTTTTCTCAATTAATTTCCCATTTTTTCACATACGATTTTCCATTATTTCATAAATAACTATCCTATAATATTTTATCGTGAAAACACATGAAGCATTTACGATTCAGCCCAATAAACATTTTAGATATTGAAATTTGTCACGAATTTTGGGACAAGAAGTTTCAATAGGGTAAACAAATAACTCAAGGATGAGAATGGATTTAATTACCTTGTGCTCAATGTTCGTCTGTTCATTCTTGTCCAGATGAACTTTAATTAATTGAGAACCGTCCAGCTTAACTCGGATTCGTTTTCCAACAATCTCCACTGGGTAAACGAGATCCTCCAACAGTGCATCATACACAGCCGTGAGGGTTCGGCTTCTTGGCCTCTTCTGCTTGTTCTTTGTACGTGTCTTCCTCGTTGGCTTGGGAAGGATTTTCCTCTCACCAACGAACATCACGTGTTTACCTGAGAATTTCTTCTCAAGCTCACGTACCAATCGTGTCTGAATCTTCTGGAAAGCCTTCAGTTTGGGCATCGGGACATAGATGATGATAGACTGCAATTATGAAATTACAAATGAATTATCGTCAAGGATTCCGACATTTCAGGGGTGCTCGACAATTCAAGTCTTCACTCTTGAATTATTTTCACAGATGAGAAACTCACTTTCTTGTTATTTGTCTCAATTTCACGAGCTTTAGTGATGTAAAGCTCTCGAAGCTGTGATTTGAGATCAGAATTCATCTCAAGATCCAGAAGAGCTTGGGAGATGCTGGACTCGAATGCATCGGGCTCGGCACCGCCGGCTTTCACGATTTTGGCGCTTGCCGTGAACATCTGAAATAAATTCAACAATTCATTTAAAAACCTCATAAGACACACAGTTAAATTATCAACAATTTGATCACTACACGGCGTATTATTTTCTCTGTCCATATAATTGTTTTGAAATTCCACAAAAATTCATTTTTAAAAGAGGCTATCCGTTCACAGTGTCTGTTAAAACAATTTACACGTGAAAAAATGAACTTATTTGCACATTTAATGCTCAATTGAGTATTTTCTGATCTCATCGATAGACGATTAAATCTTCCAATAACATGCGTTTATGGTTTTTTCTTTTAACAACATGATCTCCGAATTCATTTGGAACTCCGTGAAAATCTAAGTAATTATTATTTAATTATTCGAACAAAACGGAGCACAGGGATGCAACAATCGAGATGGGGTTAATCCTGCAAAGAGGTTATGACACTGTTGACATTTGCATGGTCACTTCAAACTGTCCTCAACACTCAATCGTCATAAAACAAATAATTATTGTAATAATGACATTCAGATAGTAATTGAAACCCAGTCGCACAAGATTATAAACTTATTACAATTATTCACTCAATTGACAAGGAAGGATTCGGTGTTAAAGGCACATCCCGATCTAAATACCCCTGGAAAAAATCCACTCGAATCCAGAAAATGATGAGACATCCGTTGAAAAACCGATCACCATTGTATCAATTAGTCTTCCATCTCCAAGATGTGCAGGTGATTTTTCTTCATTTCTCACTAAATTTATTAATAATCATTTGAGTTTGTTAAATAACGTACCTTGTCCTGCTCGCAGTCGCGTGGAAAAGAGTCACGGAAAAAACAAACATAACAGATGTGCCATTTCATCCGAATTTACATTTGGCGCCACCTCTTGAGACTTCAAAACCCAAGATTTCTTCAATTAATCATTCAAAAACATACTTTCCTTAGGATAAATATTTCCTAGCAATATTTCGACAAATTATGATAGCATGTTAGTTGAGAGAATAAATACCAAGAAATTTTTTGAGAAATTTGAAGAGAGAGATATGTCAATTGAGAAATTCAGATCGAGTTTCTCATCTGGTTAACGGACCATTTTTAATGGCTGCGTAGTGAGTTCGTCTTGTTCTCGACCGTCTTTCTCTGACTTTTCGAACGCACCTCGGAGCACGGTAATTATTGATTTATCATTGCCACGTTAATTAATTTTGTCCGAATTTAGGTAAAAGATGAATAAATACCAAATGGAGTCATGGGTTGGTGATCTGAGATGATTCGTAGTTGACATAATTGATGAAGTCCAGAAGGCAGAGTCTTGACGACGATTAGATAATCATTCGAGCACCTAACGTCGATAACAATTAAATCAGATGTTAAATCTTTCTCAGGCTACCTTGCGATTTATGACAGTATTTTCTGGTTACTCAAGGAATTTAAATATATGCAACTGTCATTGTTTGAATTATACTATTATAAATAGCAGTGGTGAGGGTACATGTTTTGGTATGTTTCAGAAAATGGCAGGAAGGTATCTGGTGACGGCTTTGCGTAGCAGAAGGCCGGCAGGAGTGAGACTTTATTCTACTCACGAAGACCTGCCACCGGTCCGCTCCAAAATCGGAAAACGCGAAGTGGTTGGTTATGGGTTGAATGGAGAAGAAGCTTACTTAGACCTGGAGGAATGCCCCATGCCTGCTATTCGCTTTAAGGAAATCACCCCAGATCTTCAGGTGAACAATAACAATTTTTCGATTTTTTGAGTTCAAGATTCAAGCTGTCGTTCAAGTTTAAGTTTAATCACTGATTTGATATCGTTATTGGAATGTTTTTAATGATTTCTAGCTGATCAAGGATAAGGAGAAGGCTGACTGGAAAAAACTGACAATCCAAGAGAAGAAAGAGCTCTACCGTGCGAGCTTCTGTCAGACATTCGCTGAAATGGATGCACCAAATGGAGAATGGAAATCAATTACAGCTGGTGTTACTGTTGGTATAGGACTAGCGCTCCTTCTTTTCACAGCTGTTAAAACATGGGGTATGTACTATTATTATAACAGATTAAAATAAAAGCTGAGCGTTTTTTCAACATTTTTTTCAATATTCAAGCTCCACTCAATCATTCATGCAATGGAATGGTTTTTCCCCCTTCATAATTACACCTTTTTATGTTTATAATAATTTTTCCCTGAGCTCAAGTGATTGCTATATTTAATAATTTCTTGCCTGACGAATTGACCAAATCATGAATTATTATTACTATTAATTCTAAATGACTGTAAGATGAGAAATTACGGATTAAATAGATAATGAGAATGAGTGAAAATATTGGGTTGTCTCTGTGCACTTGTATAATTAATATGAACGTCTCTACAATGACAATTGTCAAACGGCGAACTGTGAAATGTCTTTTTTGGAATTAATTACCACTTTAATTTTCAGTTTATCCACCACTACCAGTCACCTTTGATCAGGAACATCAAACTGCTCAATTCGAGCGTATGAGACAGTTAGACGTGAATCCGATCCACGGTATGAACAGACGTAATTAAATTCACGTTTAATTGTATCGTAAAGCAACCGGAAAAGATTCTAGTTTAAGTCATTGGTAGACAAAAAGTTGTAATTATAACATCTACTTCAATGTTAAGTATTCTGTAATAATTTGAAAGGCATTCACGAAAATCAAATAAAATGTCATTACTCTATTACAAAGGAAGGATCATATTTCTTCATTTACCCGAATTTTCCATTCGTGTTCATACCATGATAATTGAATTGAAATGTTTTTTTTTTTTTGAAAAAATGAGTATCTACTTAAATATCTACAAATCGTAAAATAGAAAATTCGAATCAAATCGAAGTTTTATAACAGGATCACAGAAAAATTGTGGAATGGAAAGGACAGGTACGTAAATAAAAAGTGATTCGGCAATTTTTTGGGCGACCGTCAAAGGTTTCTTTCTTTTTCTTTTTATTATGAAAACGTAATGAACTATATCGTTTGTACTTGAGATTATGATACAGTTATTGTATATAAATAAAGTGATATCTTACAAAGACCGCTTATTTTCTTTTCTATGTATACAGTCTTCCGTAAGTTTGTACATATTAAATTAAGTTACAGTAGCAGCATCAACTATTAGAAAATTCTGTTTTTTTTTTCACATATCTTTAGGCATCATTCGTGCATCGGAACAATCATACACATTTTTTCAGACCCAAGAATTTACGGTTTGGGAATTTTTTTTTTCATCATTTTTTCTTCCATTGCATTCATTAAATATTTAAAAATAGCCCTTTTACACGAACAAAAAGAAATAATCCTTCTTATATAAAGCGCTTTTTTGCATCTAAATAATAAAGAAAGTTGCCCTACAGTATTTTTCTGCATAAAGGAGGAAGGTAGTTCTTATTTCTTATATAATTATTTTTTGCATTTATCTCCGCGCCATTATGGAAATTATCCATAAAAAAAATGATTAATCGTATGTCTGTTTCTGTTAGCTTTTCGTTTCTCACATCAGCCGATTCATTAAAACTTTACATTATGTCAAAAATTAGGATGAGAAAATGTTTTTTTCGTTTCTGTTGTTTCTCCATGACGCACAAAAAATAAAAATATATTTATACATATACATTTATCACTAAACAACTGTTAGACTTAATTAATCTTTCAATTTTATGGCTTACTTTACAATATGTACATTAGGCAAGTCTCATTCATCTTTTACTATTTTAACCAATTTTTTTCTTAGTTTTTAAAAGTTTTTAGCTTTTTTTATTTTTGTTTTTTCTTTTCTTGGTAATTTTATCACTAAATTCAATGCTTCTTTCAATGTTTTTTTCCCTCGTACTTACAAGAATATAGTTCCGTTATCGAAAACTAAGTCTTTGTCGGTGGTTATAATTCAACAAAATGTTCGCTGATCTTCAATTAAAATCGAGTGAAGTTCAATCAAATGAAATTCGAGGGTTTTGTTAAATGTGAGTTTATCCCGAGACCAATAATAGCGAGGGAAAACGTCGAAAGACTTTTCGAATGGCTGATAAAATGTACTACAAAATATGTCGCTCAAGGATTCTTTACTAGTATAATCATCCTCAGAGGGAACAGTCCAATTGAAAATTATTTCTTGAATTCACAATGATTCCAAAAACTAGTGGATTAATCAAAAAATATCTACACTTTTTCATTGTCTTTGAATTTAATTATTTGTTTTTAAATAGCTAATGGCCACCAATGTCAACCCACTGTCATCTTGACTAAGGAATTTCTCCCAAAATCATTCATGGAACTTATTCCACATTAAACAAAAATCAATTTCCTTCAACTCCACTACAAAATCATGATCGCTAATTTTCCTGAATCCTTCTGACGTACTGAACGATTTTTAAAAACTAATAAAGATAACCTTAGGACTGTTCCGTTCAACTTAAGTTTATGATCTTCCATCGTGTTCTTTTTCACTAATTGTTATGGCAATGAGATTTAATACGATCCGCAAAAAAACCCTTAAAAAATCGGACTTTTAAAAAATTTTTCATTAATTATATCTCTTATGAACACAATTTTTAATTGCTTTGACGTTGCGACGATAGTGCATGTAATACTATCAGGGAAAAGAAACCGCTATGTAATAAGATTACGTAAAAAACAAACGCACCATTATCGCAGTCATTGTATTACATTAACCTTCTAAATGTTATTTTATATTATTTAGCAAATTGGCCACGCAAGATTTCCGGGGATCGAATCACAGAGGAAATATAACGAACTGTAAAGAGTGAGATGAAAAATTATGACTGCTAGGAAGTACATCGAGATTAATGCTCTTCATAACACATCCGCTTTTTGTTTAATTAATTAATGCTGAAAGATTCTTTGGTTCATTCGTTAAAATTAACGAACCAATGATATACATATTCATCTAAATACAAATATATATATATCGATTCAGGACGATTTCGTTCAATTATCCGACGAGGAAGAGATGAAAATTCTATTGAAGTGGTGGAACATCATTGAAAAGTCGAGTCTAATACTTTTCTTATTCATGCAATTACCTCAAGGATTTTTTACAAAATTTACAAGACATTTCTTTTGACATTGGATCCTAAAATCATTCAATATCAAAATTGTATTTATCTAACAGAACGACGTGAGACAATTCGACTTTTCTCCTACATTTCAACACTTCAATACAGAAAATTAAACTGGAGTAATAATCAAGGGGATGCTAAAGTTCCCCACCATCGACAACCATTTAAGACCAATCGTCCCATCGTCAAATACTAATTTCATTTTTTTGTTTTTTTTTTAATTTGTCACTTTTTTATCTTTGTTTTTAGTATAAATTGAAATAAAATGCATAAAATTCCAAATTCATTTCGACGACGACGATTAGCGGATTTTTTATAATAGATGTATTTTTTTGTTTTTTTTTTGTTTTTTTTTTGTTTGCAAGACTTTACCTGGTTTTTACTGCTAAGATTATTCACACTGTGACTTGGACGATTTTCCTTGAGGACGAACGATGGTCACTTAATTTTTTGTATGTCCTCCCTAGTTTATTTTTCGTCAGTGGAGAAAAACGCAAAATATATTTTCATATATTTGTGGGACTTTTAACACGGGAAGGGATACGTTTTTCATCACCGCATACAGTCACCTGGTGCACGATGACTGACGAATTTCTTCCGTTTTGGTCCTTGTACTCTTGATCCTGGACTCTGACTACCGCCGTTATTATTTTGGGTGTTTGAATTGGTGTTATGTTGAGCATTTTTCATTTTATTCTGACTAAGATTGTTGTTATTCATTCCCCGGGGATAAGTACCTCTTGAATTGTGCTGATGATTGACTGAAAAAAGGAAAATCATTTGAACATATCATCCAAACTTTTTCCATGAATTCTATTATTATTTTAAATAATTTACCATGTCCACTTGGTTTGTAAGGCTTCTTCCAATGATGATTTTGATTGGAGTTGTGATTGTTGTATGCATTTCTGTCCTTATTTCGATCATCGACTTTGCTGCCTGTGTTCGGTGAATTCCCTCGACTGCACTCAGAATCCTGTTAAAAAAAAAATACAAATTACCTTGTGAGGGCAAGCCCTTCTTGAAATAGTGGCTTTAGAACAGAAGATATTTACAGTGTCACTAGCTGGTGCTGATAGGGTGGAAGCATCTGAGCCAGTTGAACTCGACAGTGAGTCTAGTTCACTAATCGACGGTGGGAATGTTTCTTTAATCCATTTACGATACTCAACGACTTCGTCAGTCACTCGAACTATTCGTCCAAGTATACTGCAAAATAAAATTTCCATAGATATTATACCATCACAAATAAATGATTATAAGACTTACCTGAGTTTGTAAGCGTCATTGACAAGGACATTGAGCGGACTAACCGCCTCAGAAAGTACAGAGTAAGCATAATCAAATGCATTCTGTACGTAGAGAGCACCATAACTACTGCGGCCAATATCATTGCCTGGTGTGAGTGGATCCTCGATGCAAAGTATGGACGGCCTGTGGCCATCAATCATGTCACGTTGAACCTGCAAAATTCCATTTCAATAACTTCTCATCCTCCAATCATTTCCACGAAAATAAAAAAAAAGCACAACATGATAAATAACAAATATTAAATCACGAAGATCGAATAAGAAAATAGCTTTCATTACCTCTTCTTTAGATATGTAAGTACCACCATCTTTAATTCTAATTCCAGTCTTAAGATAATTGAATTTTCTACCGTATAGTTCTAAAAACTCAATCAAAAGTACACCAAGATTAGCTTCAGCGTTGAATGCATTTTGCCTTGGATGTAACTGAAACAAGATACAAAAATCATGATTTATATAAAAAAAATGAAATGCTGAATATTAGTGCCTATGAATACTATAATAAATGATTAACAATACCTGCAAAAAACTGATGGTCATGAGGATCAAACTGTACGACGAAATACCGCCAGTAAATACTTCATTCAAATCACGCTGCAATAAAAACTGTTTGAGTACCATAACGAGCCTATCCAACACTGGATACTGTTTCTTGTACTTCTTAATCAATTCCGCTGATTTAACTCCATTATTCATGTTGAAACTAATATCAACTTTTATTTCAGTTTCTTTGTCAGTCAATTTTACTATCGGTACACTTGCTTTGTCCAATACTTTTATTGACGATGGTTCGGCGATATTTTGATCCAGCAGAGCACTCTCGAGGGTACGAAGAGGCAGATTTGACCATCTTCCTATCACTACCAGATCGATATCACTGGATAAAAAAAATGCTACATGTGAGTGCATTGCATTATATTGAAGAGATTGACTGATTGTTTTCCAATTTTTTCAATTTTTTTAAAATAACACGCAAGGCTACCTGGTGGGTAAATAGAGTCCGGTACGAAAACTACCAAAGACCTCAACTTTCGAGTCTGGCCAGAGATCGTATATCACTTGTTCTATTCTCTTGACTACTCGTAATCGAAGACAATGCTCCTCTCGTGATGGACACATGTATCCATAGAAATCTTGTATCTCTTCGTGAAGTCTAGGCATAAAAAAAATACGTATTAAAAGTATTTCCTAATAAATTCAAACACCCGGAGAAAAACTTCTTTGCTCCCATGTGCCTTTTACTGGTGGAATACAATTAATCATTTATTGCGGTCTCTGGCATTTTCTAGTTTTCTGACTATTCAACGAGTTACGAATTTTAAATACTGGCCAAGTAATTTAATACGATTTTACGTATTAAATTACTTACGAAAGGGAAGATCTTGTCGGTTGGATTTGTATAGAAATAAGGATGAGTTTTGGGGACTATTTACTTTCGGCGAATGTACTCTATTGTTTGATATTTAAAAGTATTATTGATGCTACGATTTAAACGTCGAATTATTAAGAATGACTGGTGAATGGTTTCTGATGTTTCGAAACTGTTTGGGATCAGTATCTTGACAGTAGAAAAAATTGAAAATGACATAAAAGATTATATCATTAAATTCACAAAATAATCTACAACAAATCTGAATTTGTAATCCGAGCTGGAGGCCAGATTTATAATTAATAACATTCGCCATAAATTATTTTGAAAACCTCATAATATAATCTACTAATTCGAATGAGTAAATTCTACGGAAAGCATTTTCTCTCCGGATAATTATTCCGAAAACTCGCGGTACAGGTGGGATATCAAAATAGAAATCTACTGGTGATGTTGATGTTTACAGTTGTATTGAAATGAAGAGGCTTCGATTTATAGGGGGTTATTTTATTTGTACGAACGTCAAGTACCAAAGTTTCATATTTTAATTCCTTTTAAATCGTTATTGGTAGAATAAACGTGGTATGTAAACACAATGTATATTTTCATTAGCGTGCGGTTTATTGAAATATCGGTTTTGAAAATATTTCGCGCAAAAAGCGTTAGGTCTAAAATCTCAACATGGAATAGTAGGTGGAAAACAGATAAGCAAATAAAAAAATCGTATGTTTAAAATGTTCAAAGATCTTTTGCCCAAAATTCACGTTTTTATTTATTTTTCTGGTAAATTATCCATGGGATTGATGTGAAAAAATAGACAGTTTTTGCGTTTTGTGATTATTTAATGGCTCGCGATGTTTCGTGATGGTGTCATCATTGTCATGTTTTTTTTATTTTTTTCCTAATTATTTGAGAATAAAAAATTCAAATGCTGCAGAGAAATAAGACTGATAGGTTTTATTTCACATTGTATTCCACATACATGGGCTATTTTGACTGATTGAAGTAATTTAAAAATAGATTTTTCATTTTGGTAACTGAAGACGCCTTAAACATGCCTGATACATTAAGCAGTCTATAATCTGTAACTTTATTCTCCCAAAAAAATATCTATCGCCAATAGCGTCTCTGATTTTTGTTGAGTTTTTACGATTATCGTTTACGTGCGCCATAAAAGGATATGAAATGCTAGAAAATTTTTTAAATCCTCAAAATAACACGGAAATACTTTTTGCCTGCTGGTGTTTTTTTCTTCAAACCCACGATATTCTTCCACTCATCTTAATATTTATCTCATCATTTTCCGAATCACTTCATTACGCTGTGACGATAATATAAAAATAACAAATCATAAGATCCATTCATTGAATCCAATTATCTCTGTACCCACTTATAATTTCAGAAAGTTAATGAAAAAATTCCGCATATTCTATCTCGCGAATCTCCTTAAAACGACTACGCTTATCACAAAAGTTCAAGCGGCAACATAAATAGACCACGAAAGTTGTCTCCAAAAATTATTCCCTCACATGTTTCAGACCCCTCCACCCCCAAACCTGAGCAAACCAACAACTCTCATAATTTGCCATTTGCAAAAAACCTCTCATAAAAAAATGAATCATTCCCAATCAATGAACCCATTCTTAAAATTTCCCTGGTGCTTTACCCCACCCTCAAAACCAACCACCACCCACCCAAGAAATCCGATCTCTTCCTCCGATGTCGCAACATCATCGACTCATCACAATCAATTTCCCTATTAAACCACGACACATCATTCTCAACTCAAAATGGTTTATTACCTCCACTTCAAAATCCCCCAGAAGCTGAAAAAATTCACCCACCCCCTCGCCACCCGCCCCTCCCGCAAGGACCCACGATACCAAGTAAATCAGTGTCCAAATCAAAAATTAAAATAAAACCCAATAAAAGTGCAAAAATAAAAAAAAATCACGTGTGCAAATACTCCTAACCTCCACAATCTGAAAAAAAAAAAAAAATGGACAGCGCCTTCAGGCGGTTAGCGGTACACTCACAAAATAGATTCAAGGCTGGGGAAGGGACATGAGGCTTGTTAAAACGAAAATGGGGGAAGGAGTTGAAAATAATAACTAAAAAAATGAGCCACCAACCCCTGGAGATTGAAGAGTAGAAGAAAATAAATGATATATTGAAAGAAAAGAGTAACATACCCAATGACACCCTTGGAATACTGTTTGTTGGATGTACGCCAGGGACATCCACCGTATAGCCCAACGAGTGCCTCTTCATTGTAGTTCATACCGTGTGTACTAGCACGATTATCACTTTTCCTCCTCGATGGATTGTAGTAATTATTACAGGAATTGTGTACCTGACGATTAATAACTGTTCTATCATCATTGACGCGATTGTTACTGTTATCGATGGGTATATAATCATGATTGAATTTAGTTGTCATTGTTGTAACACCGTGCAAAGCAACAGCACAATTATCGTTTTTAAGGGTCAATATATCGATACCCTTTTCTGCCTCCCAAATGTGACACCACAAGTCCTTGGCGGGGCCACACTGCTCGGGTTGATACCAACCGATAGTTGGATCCATTAAACACCACCTTCTAACGTGGTGGTAAACACTTTTTAACACTTTTTACTGATGACTATTTGTCCCACGGCCCTAAACGCCTCTAACACCCCCCACACTTCCTCCCCTACACCTCTCCTTAACCACCCCCACCACCCCCTTGGCGCCGTACAATCCGATATATATTTTTTCCTTTTTCTTCCTCACCCGTTCACCTTTTTTTTTATTACTTTATATTTCTACTATTTTACCACATGCACAATTTTTCACCTCAATTTTTCACCGCTTATGGACTCCGTGGACTCTGTGATCTGCTGCCGATGGAATAAATCTTCTAGAGCTGAGGGTTTGATTCACCGATTATTCTCTTGGTTTGCCTTTGGAAAAATAACGAACACTGCTCACAGGGTTTTTCGGCCACCGTGAAATGAAACCCATGCATACAGGTTGCAAATCGCGTCTCGATGTGCGAATAGATGTCGCTGGATTTTCGGTGGTTCAGGATATGAGAGGGTGATTGGTGAATGTGGAGTACTAATGGTGGGGGCTGAACTCTAGAAGTTTTCGGACTGGGAGGATTTCGAGGTATTGAGATTTGTAATAGCTAACTCGGGAGGCAAATTATCGGGCCACAGCTTTAGCGGTTGTCGGTTCATTATCATTAAATATTTGCAAATTCAAATATGACTAATGAGAAGAGACGCCTTTACATACTCCAATTTTCTATATTTATAATTGTCTTCAAATTATTCCCTAAACATCTCTCTTTATAATATATCTACAGAAAATCACAGTCCAACCGATTTCCTCCGATATCTCCAATTCCGCTCTTTTCCCATCTTTTTTTACCTTTGGCTGGAGAGTTTGGAATTGCTGGCGGTTCCAAGCGACAGGAGACGAAACTTTCTAGTCGAGATGGAAATGAATTCTCGTCTCGTTGAAATGAAGTTCGTGGCGCCCAAAAATAGTCGAAGGGAAGTCGGCACGAGAGAGCCCCTTCGCTTCAGTTTTGTTATCTCGTTGCAAAATGGCCTCGTTGTGCGGGCGAACTATTTTCCAACTAACACGTCGTACATTCTCAACAGCCACTGTTCTCAGTGCTAAGAAGAGTAAGCCCAACTAATACCATTATTTTTTCTACCAGAATAATCCACCGATTCCCAAGATATTTATTGTTCCCAGTGACAAAATGTATTATGTAATTCGCTCGGCAAATCTATGAGAGGTCCCATCTCGTTCATTGGCCCTCGCGATTTTATTTTTCTCCCCTCAAGACAATCATCATTGATTTTTTCACCTGGCAGAACTTTAGAGAATTTTGTCTTATATTGTTTGCCTGAATTTGTCGAATGCATTTAATTTTCCAGGCCTTCCTGATCCTATCGATCTTTCCACTGGATTGGAGAAACAGGAGATTCTGTCCCGTCAGGCTGGAAATGATGTAAGTACGAATTTGTCACGATATTTTTGGGTTTTTTGGATAATTTTATCGGTCATTTACACTCCAGTTATTGATTATTTATGGTGGAATGTTTGATGGCCGTTTATACAAATGTCACGAGGTTGTCATCGATATTTGTGAGGTATTCTCAAGGGGTGAACGATCGATTGAAGGAGGAGCTCTTATCCGGCAATTTGTTAGGAAGCTATTTGCAATGGCAATTATTTGAAAGATTTCTTCGGTTTTGGTTACTTACGTACGCCCCGGGGTCTCAATTACTCATTGGTTGTTTCAATGTTTCAGATTTTTAGTCATTGAATGCGATTTCCATTGAGTCTTTAGTGATTGGATTAGGTGATTAGAGGTTAACTTTATGGAATGGGATGGAACCGTTTGCATCGGATTTTAAGCAATAGAATTAATTGTCATTTAATTGGTATTGAAAAATAAGAATAATGTAACTCCTTAAATTCAACTGCCAGGATTACTAAATATCGTGCGATTTTTTGCTGGCGTCTAAAAGCAACAAAAAATAAATACCATATAATGGCCTCTACTTTCGAAAAAATTCGTATTCGCCAACATATACGCCCATTCGTTTTTAGGACCCCTTCAAATACAGAATCAATCAAATATCTCAAACGTTTAATGTTATGCATTAAAAACAATATTTTGAGGACAGAAACTAATTTTTTTTTAACCCAATTTTTATATGAGCTAATCAGTGATTAACCGTATACTTGTGTTATACATGATGAATCATTCCTCAGACGTACCACAAGTTTGAAAACAAAAAATTTAAGAAGCAGCCAAAAAGCAAGAAAAAAAGAAAGATTTCTACTTTGTGAATTACAGGATCCCTTCATGATGAAAGCGTTAAAACGTGCTGCTGGCACTAAGGACGCACCAAATTTAGTACCGAGTGCATTCGAGAGTCGAATGATTGGCTGTGTCTGCGAGGAGGACTCAACCCATATTGTTTGGATGTGGCTGCACGAGGGTCAACCGAGACGATGTGAATGTGGGCACTGGTTCAAAATTCAGAGGAAACAACCAGTTCCTGTCCCCGAAAAATTCATGGATTAAACATTTGATCCCAATAAAAAACAAAACCAAGTTAATTAATAAGCTGCGATAAAAGTGAAACAGCAATTAAATTTGAAAACAAAAAACCGAAGAAAATTTGGCATAAGTTAGTCGATTGTTTGCAGTTACCTAGAAATAATCTTACATTATAAATTAATGTTGGAGACTGGAATTCATTTGCTATCACTGTCCGAATCCTCAAAACATTTTCCTCCTCTTCAGTTGAGCATCGAACGGGTCATTATTCCCACCGGCAGCACAACATCAAAATCGAACAACAAAAGGAGAGAGGAAGAGATTAAACAGGCAACTAGCAAAAGCAAGATGAGTCGAAATGTTTAAATGTAAATAAATAAACCAACGTTATGCTTACAAAACGATAAGTAGTCGAATGAGTATGACAGAAGATAAAACGAAAAAACATTGAAAATATCTTCTCTTTGAGTCCTTTAATATCCACCTGGCACATTGTTAATTTTTGGAACGTACAAAATTGAATTCATTTGTGTACATCATTGAATTCGAACGTCGAAAATAAATGGTTGAAGTGAGAAATTCGTGGAAACCCTAGAATTATTACGTGCGATTCCCGCGAAAAGGTAAATATCACTTTTCTTATTCCTGTGATTGATTAGTTGTTTGAGTCTTAAAGTAAAGGAATAATTGTAAGATGATCAAGTGGAAAAAATCCTGTGCAGATTATTTTCAGATCTTTGGAAAGAAGAAATTTAGAAATTCTACAAATTCTTGTGATTTTCGAGACTTTTTCTTACGATTGAAGTTGGAATTGGATATTCATTTCCAAATTCAATAGTTTCGAATATTATAGTATTCAAGTACGTTGGAAGGTTTTGAGAGAGGCTAGTTACTCCTTCATTAGATGGCTCAGTAATTTCTCAAGTACAATTAGAAATCATGATTTGTTTTTATTCGCATATAAGTAAGATTCAGAGGAAAGGTTTAGATTCTTATGGATCTGATTGTAAAAATTGAAAAATATATGCGAGAAGCCATGAGGAATCTAAAATATCCATTACTTTAAGATGAATTTTGTAAATTATAATTTTTATTTATTTAGGATGTGCTTGTGAAGTTGTAGCGTCAGTCTCATTGATATCGGAAAAGCACTCATCCAGCTTCGTATCCGTTTTTACATTCTCGGGCATTTCTGGAATTTTTGTGGTTTCGACTTCCGGTTTTTTCTTTAATTGTCCAACAACTGTGACATAATTAGAGGGGATTAATCCGATTTTGACGCTGTCCGTCGCCTTACACCATCCTGGGAGATTTTTCGGCTGGAGAGGTTCTGGAGCTAGCCATACCTTTTGCCCAGTTTTTAGACTCATCTCATCAGGAGTTGCTGCTGTGAAGTCATAGGCTGCGGTTGCTGAGAAGACTGGTTCCTTACATTTGAACCATTCTTTGGGGTCCTTCTCGTTTATGTCATTTTGAGGGATGCTTTGAGAAACTAATTTGTGAATTAGGTAAGGAAGTCCTACGAGAAGGCTAAGAAATATAATGATTGGCCATGTGCTGGGTCCTGTTTTTTCACCGTTTGCTACCTCCAACACTGTTCTCCTCCAGACTGCGTCTGAATTTGGATCGTCTGGGGTTAAACCTGCAAAAAAATGCATTCACAGTGCATTCATATTTCCATTGAGAAAATTTTTTCGAATACATTTTTTTCATTATGAACAAGACCGCTTCGACGGAGGAAGAAAAGTACTTCAAAATAAAAATAAAAAATCTTAGTATATCCTCTTTAAATTGCCATTTCCTGATATGAGGCATTCATAGAAACTTAACTCTGACATAAGCCGGCCTGTCAGGTAAACCTCTTCCGTACTGAATTCATATTCTAGTTGAAAGGAAATGTGCTTACCCAATTGAAACATAATCTTCTTATACAACCACTTGAGAAATCTAAAAAGTGCGAAAGTACTGAGCAATTGCCCAAACATATTGCGAGCTCTTCCAACATTTTCAGCGACGCTGAGAATAGCTTTGAAAGAGCTAGTCATGGCGAAGAAAGTCGATTCGAACATCATGGTAATTGAAGAAAATGTGTGAACAATCGATTCTATCGATTGAAATGCCGGCCTGGTGCTTTCCTCGGCGAATTGGACGAATCGGTTCTCGACATCTCCACTGGGGCCACCGAAATTACCGTAAGCATTACTATAAGAGGTACCATATGATCCATATCCTCCATAGGAGCCGTATCCTAGGCCGCTTCCAAATCCGTAGGAATTATAGCCTCCATATCCACCCATAAAACTCGGCCTATATCCTCCATAGGATGAGAACGAGTTCGTCACTCGCCTAGGAGGCAATGGTGGAGGCTGAGAGACTGCTACCGCTGGCCCATATGGAGTTCCACTAAAAAATTCATTGAATTCACCATCACCAGACAATTGCGTGGACTTTGTCTGTTTACGACTGATAAGGGTAAAACTATTGTAGCATAGTTGTACACTTATCGCATCAATTGATATTCTACAGAGAGGACGCAATCATTAAAACTATCTCGCATTTATTATTTGTCTATCCAAGAGATTAACGTCAGAAGTTCAATTGCATCATTATTCATCGAGCGTTGTGCAATTTGTGTAAAAATTCTAGTTATCCGAAACGTACGTCTGCAAACTTATTATTTCGACGAAGAATTTTTAGAAATTCGTAATTTTTACCTGTACAGATCGGAACAATTATTTTATAAATAGCAATTTGATAATGGAATTCTATCAAAACCTACTGTTTTTTTTTAATTCCAATACCGAAAAAACCCACGAATAGATTCGTTAAAAAAATTTTCTGTATGAAAATCAAGAACACAATTGCAAGGAGAATCGAACTATTTGCCGTGTACCTCATTATGACTCTCACGTTAAAAAATCTGCATTATTTAAAAATGATGGATTTAGGATTTATGAAATTGATGTTAAGCGTGGAAATACAATAATGAACACATGATAATGAATTTACCCTAGTAAAACGCCAGGTGTCTGTCTAAATTGAGTGGTGCATGGTCTCTGCTGATTCATGCTTGTATTTCGCAGTACTCCGTGACGTTAAATTTAATGCAAAAATCACTAATGATGAAACGTAAATATCGTCTTCGCACACTCTCATTTATTGGAGTCAAAGGTCGATGATCATCCAAACTCGTGAAATTCTGTGCTGTCTGTCAAACTCCAAGTGTCAACGTAGGGCTATTCCATAGCAAAATTTTCCCCTCATCAACGATAATCCCCGAATTTTCCAACTTAAATTTATATTGTAAATACAAAATTTCAGTTTAAAATCTGAGTTTATCAATATTCAACAGGAAAAAATCAATTTTAGAGGAGATGATAAGGAATGTGTTGTTCTTTAAACAGTACTCTGACCCACTCTGATCATCTTTCTGATTTTTCATATGAAAAGGCATGTTTACAACGGAGTGGATTGGAATTGGAAATCATGGAAATTGTTCATTCATACGACCAATCAGGAGCTTTAGCATTTTTGGCGTTCATTTGAATAAAGCAAAAAATCCGCTCATTTACCGCTATTGATCTAATAATAAAATAAAATCAATGTAAAAATCTCAACATAAACGATATACAGGTGTTGAGGTGATTGCCCCAAAAAAATATACCGCGTCTGCATTTTATAATTATTTCATGACTCACAAAGTTTCGTGAGTACAATAATTTCCCTGTTTTTCCAAGTTTTATGAATTTTCGCAAAGTTTAGAAAAAAAAAAAGCAGAAAAATTATAGCACAGTCATGACATTGTCATTATTTTCTCATTTTTCAAGTTTTTATAAATTTCTTGGAGCGGTCTATAAAATGGGCGTAAAAAATATCGGTAATAACTTCTTGATTACTACTATACAAATTCAAATGAAAATACATCTCACATTATCCCGCACTTTTTTAGCATAATCTGCTTTATCGGCGCTGGATTCTACTTTATCTCTTCTAAAATATAATAATACGTGAGGCGATCTTTTTATCAATCGAGTGGACGCTCTTTGAGAAGAGCCACGCGTTTGCTCCCAGGGGCTAGAGTTTCTCCGTAATAATAATTCTATCTTCCCCTTCGTAAACCCCCATATATCCGTCAAAAGCCGGAATTAGTGTTCACACACACGTAAACGTCTGAGGTTTGTTGATACATAAATTTGTTTTCTCCTTTTTTCATCATTTCTCCATACCAAAAAATCCTTCAACTTTTTCTTGTGCATTTCTTTCATCTGCTTCCAGAATTACTCAAGTCAAGTTTTTTTTTCTCATCACGAATTTTTTCGGAGGGGTCTACTAACACCGGGCCATTAGTACTCGTTTTTTTTTTATCGCATCGTGAGTTAAGAAAACATGAGTTAGAGAATCGAGTCGTGAGTAAAACCATTGGAATTTTTTTTGTCCAATCGAGGACGATTCCTAGCGTGACAAGGGAGTTACGTGTTTCAGGATGTGATATAAATTACGGGACATAATTGTTTTGATATTGAGTCGTGCTCTACCATCATTTTTTATATCAATTTCTCAAGTAAGAATAGAATTATTGAATGTTTCATTCTATTTAAATGCATGCAATCAAGTCAATTGGACGAATATTGCTCGAGTCCGGAGCGTGTTGGACAATGCTCTTTCGTTTGATTTATTCCGGTTGTTCTAATTACACTGACAATTGATAAAACAATTGCTGCGGGAAGTAGAGATGTTCAGTGTCTGCGATTCAACGGTATTTTTGTGGTTTTTTACTTATAAGTTATTGAAAAGTTCATGATCCGTGATTGTTTAGTGTGAAAACAATATCTCAATATTAATATCTTCTTATTTTTTATATTTAGCTACCCATATTACAGTAGAAAATAGAATTATGAAATTATTGCTGCGCTATAATTAGAGTGTACCAGCTTGTCGCTGAGATAATCAGATTAAAATTGATCAGTAGAGGGTGATAAATTTATAACGATTTTTCTCAGTTTGCAGTGAATAATTGTAATCGCAGTGATTGATGGTAGAATTGCTTCAAGAGATTTACACTTGACATATCCGTGAATGGCAATTTTATTGCGATTTTTTTAGAGTGAAGTTTTGATACTTTTATAAGGAGATTTTATTTTAGAGTGGTACTCCATTTATTTAGGATTTTTTGACAACTATTGTTTGTTTTTATCGTCAAAATCCTGCAGTCCATGTCTAGTAAATAAAATAATTAGTGATAACACTCCTGCATCGAAATTAATCAGCTGTTTCGTTCAAATTTCTTGCGAAATTTCGTACAAAAAAATTATGCAGAATTTAGGTCGCGCAAGTTATCGATAAAGATGTGATAATTTTTAGGCACCTGTTGTACTCCTGATAACAAGCTATTACGAAACATTCAGATTTTTTTTTTTATTCTTGAAATTTAAGAAAGAGGTTTACCATCTCAAATGAGTAAATGATAAATAAACCCTAAGTTTATTAAATCCGTTATCAGAATGTCTCGCAGTTTGTCGTCAGTCCAAAATCGACTCTATATTCCATCGTAATTTATCTATTTTCAGAATAACAAATTGCACGTCTTTAATTGAAAAAAATTTCAAACAAATTTTTATTGAAGTCCTTCAAAGTTGACCTTTTATACTCAAGCTAGAATAGCCCAGACATTTTTTTCATAAAACCATTCAGACAAAAAAAAAACCCCGCAGGTAATAGAATTTAAAGTTCAACTCATAAATGATAATTGAATCGTATTACTTTTGCTTATTACAAGTCAAATCTAATCACGCGAACAATCGATTTCATTGATAAAAAGATCGATAATGAAAGTATGTAAACGTTAGTTCTTCGTAATTCGACACTCATTGTAGCTCAATAGCTAAATGGTTTGACAAGATAAGTCAACTCAATTTCAGTTTAACGTCTTCACAAATATTTCCAGTCGGAGCTGAGAAAGATAGTACAAAATTTTAATGAGTATCCACATTTCTTAACATTTATTTCGTCACAAAAAAACCGGTAGAATGAGATTTATAAGCATTCGAAGAAATATATCTATGGAAATTCCACTATTTTCTTTATATTCATTTGCGAAGAGATAAGGAGTATACAACACGACTCGCTTCCTAGTTTTTGCTGAATATTCAAAAATCTATGAAAGATACTGAAATTTTCAAATCACCTTTTTTGTTGATGTCATTACACTCTACAAAAAATGTCTTATGAACAATGTCGCAATCTCTCTCAGATTCCGAGAAATTTCTCGCTTGAAAAACGAGTCAACTCGTTGTCTCTTACTTGTTCGCTACTCAATTTCATTATATCCACCAACTTATTTGTAAGTGGAATCACTTTATGTGGTTTTACTACTTCACCAGGGATTTCGCGTTAAAATCCAATGGTTCAAATTGAATTTCAGTGTTAATCCCATTAGTATGCCCTTATCACATTACAATTGATCGCCCTGATAGCAATCAGAGGGATTGGAAGAAAAATAAAATGGAAAATGAAAGTGAAAGATTTGATATAATCGCAATTGTCAATTCTAGTTCCTTTTATTTGTTATTTTTAGATTTATGTTTGTGTTATGTAAGCTCATGAAAACGTTTGGATATGATTTTAGGGGTTTATTTAAAGAACATGGAGGGAGGTGGTGTATTAACGGCTGAACGGAGTCCTGCTCGGGCTAATTTACACGTTGCCTTCACGGAAAAAGGCGAAGTTAAAGAACGACGTGAGAAATTTCTCACGGCCAAGTATGGCTCACATCAAATGTCGTTAATTAGGAAGAGATTGGCAGTGGAAATGTGGCTTTTTGATGAACTCCAGAAGCTGTATGAATCCGTTGTAAGTGATTTTTTTTAGTTCTCAGGCGAGTAAATTCGTAAATCGAGGGAAGGGAAATGGTTTTTTTCTCTCTATAGAAACGGAAATGAAAAGACATTGAAGGAATGAATAGCCAATTGGAACTGGAACCTTTTATACTTTGATATCTTAAAGGAATTTTATTTTATTATATTCTGAATTTACGTTGTTTAATCCATAGGAATTAATTAATTAGTAAAGGAACGGGGATAATGAGGGAGTTGAAATACTCCCGGAGCTTTATTTTTTACCGCTCTAAACTTTATTCAACATAATAATATTAACCCTCAAAATATTATAATGTAAAAAAAAGCATTGACCTTGAATACATTGACTTTCAATATACTTAGGTAATTTCAATAAATGTAATTTTACATCTGTTATGCTTCACCACTTTCGCTATTGCATTCCAATTTGAGCTAGTAGACTGCAAGAAATTACCGCAATATCGCTATCTAATCAGTATAAGTAAATGATTAATGGGATTTCTTGCATTTGAAAAACGAAAGAGAGTGTACTTTTTAATCATTTTCTACAGACAGTAAAAAAGATATAATTTATGTAATCTGTACTTGAACAAGAAAACATTATCATGGGTTTTTCATGACCTCTTATGATGATAATGAGTAACGGAAATTGCAATACTGGAGATATTATTATCTGCATTATTATGTGAGAGTTACATTTAATGGTTTTAACTTATCATTTAGTTTAATGATTCAAGCATGAACATATGAAGAGGGGAATTTCATGATAATCATTAGATCTGTATAGTCTCTAATAACTAATAAATAATCCAGTGTGAGCATTAAGGACCGAAACCGTCTGTGGAATAATTTTAATTGCCACTCGGGGATAACATCTTAATGAAGAGATATAAAATCATTGAGGGAGAAAGGTTATCGTTCAGAATAGAAGATTCTTCAATCTCGAGCAGATATTGTTTGAGCTGCTTAATTTGTTTCAATTGTAATCGGTAATGCTGATATTAGGTATCGAATTGGTTGATTGACTTGTCATTTTTTTTTTCCAGACTGCCGACAATGGAAAGAATCGAGAGGTGGAGGTGGATATTGATGAACTCCTGGATATGGACAGCGATGATCACAGACGAGCCCACCTACAAGTAAGTTCAGAAAATTTTTACAAGTCTAATTCAATGAATTCACATTCTTCTACGTCCCCACGTCTGCAATCAAAATTAATAATTCATTAATATTATATTTATTTTTATTAAATTTAAATAATTTGGACCGAGTATAGAATTTTCATTATTTCGCTAATTATTGAACCTGAAGTGTTGAAACAGTTTCACATAAAACCACTCATCAACGGGATAATTGCATAATTAAAAAGATGGACTTCATTACTAGAATTTTTAATGATGTTTATCTGATGTTTATCTGGGTAATGAGCGATGCTAGGAGAAAATGTCTAGTGTCTCTTGGTGATTTCTCTTGACGTTGCTTACCATGGAAATAATACAATAATTAACAACATAACGCAAATCAATTCCTGAATGGAGTGTTAACATGAGATTAATTATCCGTTACAGGAATTATTGGTGGATGCGAAAAAACCGCACGATGTCAAGGTAATTGAAAAGTCAAAATAATTACAATGTATTATAAGTAGAACACTTTTTGCAAAACTTAAGAAAGTAATTTTCCTGATTTTTTCACACAAATTTATTTTTTATACGATTTTATACGATAGAGGAACAATATAAAATATATTCTTTCATTTTAGAAATTCATCAACGATTTGTTAGAAAAAGCAAAAACTCTCTGAAGAGCAAGTACCTGCCATTGGCTCCGAGTACCGATACTACCAGCGTTTTGTTACTTGCTCACTCCTCCGAGTGGAACAATGGGCTAATGAAACAGATTCAATCGAACGAAAAAGTAAGCACTAAAAACTAAAAGTAATAAGTAAAAAGTAGCAATGAACCAAAAAAGTCACAGTTTGTTGTCAGCAACGAATCAACAGCTGGACTCCAGGCATTGTGACTTTTTTTTATAATAATTATTTCAGCAGTTCTCCCAGTGAGAAAACGAGCGACTGACATACGACGCGATTTGAGATAAGTTTTAATGGAATTGTAAAATGTGACGAATCAATTAAAACATGTTTATTCATTTTACATTCTACTCAATGATGTGAGACTCCTGCTATTGACTTCTAGCATCACTCACTACCAAAATGATTCCATAATCAACAAGAAGAGGGAAATTGATTTGTCATATTTTTCAATTGCACAGTTCTCTCGGGATTGAAAATTTTTATCAATAAAATTATCAATTCCACGATTATCATTTACTTCAAGTGAAAAAGTGCAACAATGTAATCATTAATTTACGATTGATTGAGTTCCTAATTACGTTTAATTTTATGTTAATTTTCATTTAAGAATGAGGATTTAGATGGAATTTTGGAAAGTAACACGATAAATAGATTCCCTCCATTCGTTGAATTCGATGAAGGTACAAAAAGGGTCTGGTCAGAAGAATTTTACAACAATTAAAAGTAATAGAGGACACAAAAGACTAACTTGTCAAGCAAATAAATTTCTAAATAAAAAAATGTGTGCTGGAGTCATTAGTCGAGATGAGTCAATATTTTTAGGACCGTTTTTTTTGGAATCATCTCGGAACCGAAGGGGAGATAGGTAAATTTGTATAGAGACTCTTTCGCAGAAAACCTTTATACCAAAAAACGATTCTTACTAGAAATTTTCCATCTGTTTTGGATCCAAAGATACAGGTGAAGTTGAGTTGACTCATCTCGTATCTTTATGTTACAACCGAATTGTTTCGGCATTGAAACAACAGATAGAACGTTCCAGCTTAATTTGTTGTGTACGGGAATCTGTGAATAATTAGCTTAATGGATTAACTAACAACACGGCACATTAATTTAGAAAAAAACCACTCAGGCAATAAAGTAAATTGTCAAGTGCCAAATAGGTGTTTACACGGAAAATGAAATAGTAGTTCCGTCTAGAAGTGTTTTGCAGTTGGAAGAAAATTAGTTTTCGTGTGTTTTTAATCACGAAATTAATGTGATTACCGAAGCAGTCGCCTTTAACAGATCAAAAATTTTTTCTGTATGGAATTGAAAACGTGATGAAGCGACCTCCATAATTTGCTCGTATTAATTAAAAGATTGCCACGGATATACTAATTGAGTCTTTGGACTCTTTAAACAGATCTCAAGTTATTTCACTCTAAAAAATTATTTGAAATATTTCTCAACCGTTTTCAACTTCGAAATATTCTTGGCAAAAGACAATTCCGAGCAATTTATGTAAAAATCCTGTTGTATGATTTTTTTATTCTGTTACAAACCGCCGGAAAGACTTATCTAAACGTATCGATTGCTGAATAATTTTCTGGAATGCGCAATAAAATTGCGATCGCTTCATTACTTTTTGCCATTTTAATACAGAACATCATCGATGGATCTCTGCATTACTTTTATTTAATCAAAGTAAAAAAATTTTAATCTGCTGTGAACGTTTTGATACGAACATACTGCCTGCTCAAGCAAATGTAAGAAAACCTAAATGTCCCATTACCAAAACGACGATTCAATTTGTGGAAGTAAATTAGAGTTAACCATCGACGTCTGTAAGTAGTTTTAACCGCTTTGTAGATACATATCTCAATTCAATTATCTCACCCGCATATCCTCATTTAGATTGATTTAAGGAATCGTTGATGTGATAAAATTGTTTGGGGAATGACGAAGAGTCATGAATTGAACGAACAAGAAATTTTTTATTGAAGTAGTAAAACCTTTGCTACGAATTGTCCGGAAGGTGAGGTATTTTCTTGGAAAAGTTGAAGCGTCTTCCTTTAGTAGAGAAAATTCTCTACGAAAATGGCTTTTATCATTTTTCCGTGAAAGTACTTGTTTCCGAGATAATTCACTTTCTGTTCTATCACTTTAGAGGAAACTTGAAATCAACGTTTAAATCAGGTGAATATGGAAGAACCACAAATTAGGCAAAAATTAATCAACTGAATGATAAAATTGTGCTCGATTTTTGATGATATTGAAACAAAAAATGCAGATTTTCACGAACAAAGAAGAAAATAAACTGCCAAAGATTTATTTCATTACGTGCATACGAGGGAAGAAAATTCGAGATCGAACTTTGATCGTGGTAATCACTCAGGGGTTCTGTAGTCACAGCTCGAACAGCAAATAGAAAAAATACTAAATACAATTAGCAGTAATGAGCTGTGATAATCAATACGAAAATACCTAACGACGAATTGAGTGATGAGGGAAACGAAAAATTAACGTTTGCTACGATATGAAAATACAATTAAGCAAACAATGGTCTCGATTGTAGTTTTAATGTTATTTCAAAGTTAATGAAAACATGCTCGGTCAGTTTGAATCACCGATACCATCCGTAATGAATTTCATTCAATTCTTAGTCTTGACATTCTCGAAATGCTGAAATAACTTAATACTCGAATTGATTCATATCATTGGTTTTAAAAAACTACGATTTTTTTAATATCATTAACATTAATGAAAATGGAATAATGAATTGTATGGGTCACGAGGAGACGAAAGAGGCATTATCAGTGTAAGCTATCAGTAATTTTTCATGATAATTTTTTTACCTTATTTGTTCTCTGTAATTTTAATAACTTATTCTTAATTACTTTTAATGTGTTTTTTAATCACATAACGATGTTTTCGTACTTCCAAGGAAAAAATTGTGGAGTGGTAAAGAACGCAATATTCGGAATACATAAAATTTTCATCTTATTTTACAAATTTTTCTCTGCACAATCTCACGATACTCCGTTTGAATCGTTTCAAAATTATTTAATGGTGATAAATATTATTAACTTATTTGATGAACATGAGATAGACGCTAAATCGATTTTGTTCATTTTCAAATAATGAAAAAGAATTCTTCTAAAATTTTTTAATAGAAAATGTCACCTTTGTTTAAATGTCGTGTAGAAAAAAAAAATATGTAATGATGTACGAGAACTTATGATATTTTTCACTCAGTTACTGTTCCTTACCGCTTTATATTCCGACTGTAAACAACGCATTTTTTTTAAGTTAGAAGATGTTCAGAAATATTGTGATGCTTGAAATGAATTCTCGCTGATTAGGACTATAAATGTAGTCGCTTCCAAGTAAAAACGAACAAAAAAGGATTGATGTAGGTAAGAAAAGAATGAAGATTTTTGAGTGTTGACGAGCTTAATTGAGATGCATTTTGAGTAAAAATGGATAAACATTTTGTTATACAAACGGAAACTGAGGGAAACAGATTTTTGTCACAACTTATGAACAATGAAGAATCCATTTTTTCATAAACAGATGAATAAGTGAATGAGGATATTTGATAGTACTCAGGAGTGTTTCTGAATGAGGATAAATATCTGAGGTTTAAGATTTTCGGGCAATTTTTGTAGACTGTAGGGTTTTATAAACAATCATCCCCCTTTTTCAATGTCATACCCACCATGGAAACATTTTCATATGAAGAAAAAAAAACAAAAACAAAAAAAAATGGATTGGATATTTTCGTCATAGGAATATCGTCGTCCAAGCGCACCATATTAACGCATTGTAATAGTGATTAGACACGTAATTGAATAAAAAAAAATCTTGCGATTGTTGTATCTTCGCAGTCTTTTGATGAATGGAAAAGCAATAGAATTATGAACGTGCATGGATTTATTCGAAGTAAATTCAATTTTTTGCGATGTGAAATGTTTTTTTATTTTCGAGAAAACAATACCCTATGCGTGATTCCATTTCAATGACTCGGTCCATTGGTGATATCTTGAAGATCAACGGGCCCATATAAAAGTCAACTGGAATTTAAGGTAAATATACCTTACATTAAAAAAAGAACTGACGATTTCAATCAAGCCTCGTATTTATTTTGAATTTCTCAGATAGATAGAATAGAAATTCATGTTCCGATTCTTTCCACTATTTCTGCAATTTATTTTCACAATAATTTCTCATTATTTCCTAAGAAATCCGCCGAAATTCTTCAATCAGAATAAAAGTAATTCTTCGAAATCTATATACAAATACAGTGTCCTAAATTCATTTACTTCTCTCGAAAAAAGGATTGCCGATATCCATTTCTGATTTAAATTAGCAAAAAAAAATTCGGGTCATCACATCATTTAACTTCCAACCAAAAAAATTTATTCATAAACATTCCACGAACAGGCCCATCCCAATGAAATCCAAACTCATTTTGTTTCCCTTTTTTCTCTCCAATTAAAATCAGTGTTTAGATTTTGAGATGGTCGTATTCATCTGTTTGCTACCACTCAACACGATGAAAGGTGATTGAGTCTCCTTCTGCTTAGCCTGAAGAAGATTCAGAGTTCCCAAAGGGGTATCAGTGGAGGACATCCTCTTCATGAGCACCTCCTGCTCAGCCTTCTTCATCCTCTTCTCCACCTTATTCTTACCAGGACCCTTCCCATGAAACTTGTGAGATAAATATCTAAAAGCTTCCTTGGGTGTCAGTACATGCCCATCATCATCAATGTACTCCAACTTGGGATTGGGTTTGAAGCCATCCCGTTCCTTGAATTCAGACGTGGGTCCATTGAACCTATCCCTCCTCCCAAATTTATCATCATCCCCATAAGTCTTATCCTCGATGGAGTAATTCTGCGCCTGAAGATGAGCGAATCGACTGATAGAGGGTCTGTTGGTGTCCTCCTTCTGCAAATAACCCTTGCTCATCGCCAACTTGAGCGCTCCTCCGACGCCCTGTCCCAAGGAAGGCTCAATATCGAGAATAGCAGCCTCGATAGCAACCGGCTCAGCCAATTTCTCCTCAACCTCAACAGTATTCCAAGCCCCACGCCCATCATCCTCCTCCTGAGCCACCTCATCTCTCACCTCAGGCTCCTCAAAGTCCATGATATCCTGGTCATTATCTTCCCTGTTGCCAGCCAGCCCATAAGTCGGAATATCCCCGAGAGTCCTACAGAATTCAGCAGTTGCCACGAACTCAATATTTCCCCCATTGTCCTCAACCTCCTCGACTTCGGTCTTGATCAAATCAGCAATTGTCTCCCAATTCTGCTTCGAAGGTTTTAGGAGCTTCTGCTGCTTGCGACTAAACTGGAGCTCCTCCCTGTATTCGTCCTCTGTCTTAATCTCTTCCTTGAATGAATCACGAGCTGACGAGTCACCCGGACGTTTTCTCCTCCTGCTGCCGAGATCCCTGAGATAATCAGTATCCGGTATCAAGTCGTCGGCCGTGAGAACTTTGTTCCTAAGCGATCTCTTCACCTTTTTCTTCTTTTTTATCTTCTTGAATTTTGACAATTCTTCTTCATTATAATACTCACTGGCTAATTTGAGTTCAGTGGGTTTAATAGTCTCAAGTCGTTTATTCGAGAGCTTCTGCTTAATAATCTCTGATCTCCGTCGATCTGCCTCCTTAGCACTGTCCACCCCCAGGGCGAAAAACTGCTTTCGTTCTCCGTCGATCTCCTCGTCATATTTCTCAAGGACTTTATTCTTCGGGAGACCAAACTCATCGAAATTGTCGTCGTCATAGGCATCGTAGCCAGGTTTCTTTTTTTTATTCATCACACTCTTCTTATATCGTTCATCATCCCTCATGTTGACGTTCTCCAGGACATCGTCTTCATTATCCAGCACTCCTTTATCTTTCAATGTGAGGATGACGTTCCTCTCAGCAAAATTTTCAATATCATGCTCGACCCTGAGACCCCTGAGGTCTCTCTCTGTATACGCCTGCTTCCTCTCGCTCTGAACTTCCTCTTTGACTAATGATTCAACGCCGAAGACTGCCTCCATCTCCTCGAGGAGTTTAGCTCTGTCTTCAGCTTTTTTTTTCTCTTCGGCGAGTTTCCTGGTCTTCTCCACCCACAGATTGGCATCATCGTTGGAGTCGTCATCCCCCAGGAGCTGAACTCTGGAAAGATTCGCCTCGATCTTGCGTTTCTGCTTATGAGTATCTATTCTCTCTCTGTATTTCTGGGTGAGAGCTGTGCTAGCAGTGTTCTCTGCTGGTTTATGATAGAATTCACCAAGATCATCCTTGAGTTTGTTGGGATCCTCTTTGGATGGGGCTGTGTCGACTTCCAAGGGTTTGAGACCCAGTTGTGCTCGCAGTTTATTAGTTTCCTCGATGGAACAACTGAGAACAGCTGCACCTCCTTTTGGGGAAGGACTTCGGGGTCGTGTCGAGATCTTTGGAGGTGGTGGAGCATCTTCTGAGGGCCTGGATATTTTTGGAGGAGGTGGGGCGCTGACGATCTCCACTGGAAAGAACAGACTGTGAACAACGAACCCTCGAGATAATTTGTTAATTTTAGAGGAAGGGTTAGAGATTTAAAAGGAGTCTTACCATCACTGTCATATTCTTTGCGCTCTTTTCTCTTGTGTTTCTTGTGGTGTCTGCTACTGTGTCTTTCTGGAGAATAGGATTTCGAGCGCGATCGGGACCTGGAGCGACTACGGTGACGACGTTTTTTCCCTTCTCGGGATTTTTCTGATTTGTGACGCTTAGACGAACCCATTATTTTTATTATTTCACTGAAGAGAGTTTAATTGTAGCGGGAGTTGTTGAAGAACGTTGGGTGTACGTTAACCAAAGCTAACAAACAGCCGTAAAATTGCAGTCAAAGAGGATGCACCTAAGTAGAGGTCCAATAAGGGGAATTACCCCGAGCCCAAAATTTTAGTACCGACCCCACAACAGCGAGGGCGCCACACGCAATGCTGGGGTGTTTTTTTTTATTAACCAAGTTTTTATTGCAATGCTGGGGTGTCCATCAAGTCGACGGGGTGAATTTTATTTTCTGCTGTACGAAT